ACAAAATAAGCTGTCAGGCCTGGAGAAGTTGAAGAATTCTTCCTTTTTAACATCAGGAACCAATTTTGGGAGAAAAGGCACCCTTTTGCTCTGACACTTGAACGCTTCTTAAACCAAGGTTGACGGCAAGTATTCTACCTCTCTAAACTTCTTTCTGTTATCTTTGTTGTGGTATTGCTCTCTGTATATATATATATATATATATATATATATATATATATATATATATATATATATATAGGCTACATCTTTGTCTGTAAATATGTTTATTGCACCCTTTTGACCTTTTTAGTAATAAATCCTATTATCTGAAAAGTGTTGAACTGTTTCTAAAGCTCTTTAATGCAAACTAAGAATCCCTGTCTCTGAAGAGCACTACTGTGTGTTTTTAAACCTCTATGTACATCTGCCTGTGATGACAGTGTGTATACAGACGATTATTCAAACATCATAGTGTTATTGCTAATATTGGCGAGTTTCTTCCTTCTTTGGACAAAAAGGCGGTGGTGGCAATGTGAAGGGTTAATTGCGTAATTACCCTGACACAATAACAATCGCTCTTAGGCTGCAGGTACATAGATTGTGGTCCATTAGCTGGAAAATCTTTGTGCAGGGTGCAGCTGAGCGTGGAATTGTTACGCACGTGACAGCGCGGTTTTAGATTGGCTAGTCCTTCAGTCACGAGTTTGGTGAGAAGGGCTGGGGGTCTGACGCCGCGACCGTCACACAAGTGATCAATCTTTACACGGGGGTAAGGACACTCTTTCTGTCCCCTTGTGACAGCAAAAGGTGCTTGAGTAAAACAGTGTTAATTTTGATGCCAAATTTCGATTTAGTTTTAGTCATAGTCTTTTGACTAAAATGGCATTTTAGTTTTAGTTGTATATTATTCATCAAAATTGTTTTAGTTTTATTTGCATTTTAGTTGACCAAAATCTCCAGTACATTTTAGTTGACTAAAATCTCCAGTATCATAAACAAACAAAAATATTGCTTTTTGACAAGCAGAAATGCAACTTTAACCACTTGCCATCCAGAGGATTTACCCCCCTTCCTGACCAGGCCATTTTTCGGGATACTGCGCTGCATTATTATAACTGACAATTGCTCAGTCATGCAATGCTGCACATAAATGAAATTTATTTCCTTTTTTCACCCACAAATAGAGCTTTCTTTTGGTGGTATTTGAGCACCTGTGTGGTTTTAATTTTTTGTGCTATAAACAAAAAAAGACCGACAATCTTGAAAAAACCCAAAACAATATTTTTTACTTTTTGCTATAAAACATGTCCAGTAAAAAAATGTGAAAAATCAAAATTTCATCATAAATTTAGGCCCAAATTTATTCTGCTACATGTCTTTGCTAAAAAAAAATCCCAATACGTGTAAATTAATTGGTTTACGTGAAAGTTATAGCATCTACAAAAGGTGGATATATACTGGAATTTAAATTTTTCTTTTTACTGATAATGGCGGCGATCAGCGACTTATAGCAGGACTTCTGATACTGCACGCATTCTGACGCTGGGGGGGGACACTAACTAAAAGCCACTGACATCCCAATGACACTAATACAGTGATTAGTGCTAATAAAAAGCACTGAAACTGTACTAATGACATTGGGCAGGAAGGGGTTACCATCCGGGGTGATCAAAGGGTTAACTCTGTGCTGTTTCAACCCGAGCCGCACAACAACTCCCGCCCAAGTACTGAGTGTACTGTGTGTGTTTTACTAGGGAAACATGCTGCTGTGTATTTCTCTGCTGTGCAGAGTAATACACAGCAGCATGTTACTGCTAGCAGGAGAGAGGCCTGTGTTGTTTACACACAGATCTCTCCCCTGTCACTGTTTCTCGGTGATCGCTGGGTGCCGGCGGGGCATCTCCGGCCAGGACGTGGTGATTGACATCTGTAGCCACCATTGGCGGCATGGGTAGGGCATCGCGCGAGCACACCCCTACCCGGAAATGCAAAATCACATATACAGTATCTCACAGAAGGGCGTACACCCCTCACGTTTTTTTAAATATTTTATTATATCTTTTCATGTGACAACACTGAAGAAATGACATTTTGCGACAATGTGATGTTGTGAGTGTACAGCTTGTATAACAGTGTAAATTTGCTGTTCCCTCAAAATATCTCAAATCACAGCCATTAATGTCTAAACAGCCCTGCTGCCCTGTAGCAGTATTTCTGCTATAGGGCAGCAGGGAAGCGGTTAAAATATAAAAAAAAAAAAAAAACCCCCAAAAAATGTAAACTCTATTGGCTGTCATTGCACATGTTACCTGAATATAAACATTTGAACAGTTCTCTGTTAATATTGAAAACAAGTATCAAATAACGTCCTTATACATAAAATAAAGTTTCTTAAACAAGAAAATTACTTTTTGACCACTGTTAATTTTGATGTCAAATTTCGATTTAGTTTTAGTCATAGTCTTTTGACTAAAATAATAGTCGTATTTTATTAATCTGAATTGAAACTAAATTTTATTTTTTGTTTAGTTTTCGTCATTGAAACATGCAGCTGACGAAAACTGATGAAAATATTTTCGTCCATGAAATTAACACTAGAGTACAACCCCAATTCCAAAAAAGTTGGGATGCATTTTTTGCAAATCTCATAATCATATCTTATTCACAATAGGAAATTGAAAACAGCAAATATTCTAACTGAGAAAATGTACCATTTTAAGAAAAAATTAAGGTAATTTTGAAATTGATGGCAGCAGCACATCTCAAAAAGTTGGGACAGGGCCATGTTTACCACAATGTAGCATCCCCTCTTCTTTTTAACAATATTCTGTAAATATCTGGGAACTGAGGGTGCCAGTTGCTGGCATTTTGGGAGACGAATGTCCTCCCATTCTTGCCTGATATAGGATTCTAACTGCTTTGCAGTCCTGGGTCTATTTTTTGCATTTTGTGTTTTAAGATGTGCCCGATACTGGTGAATGGTCTGGCCTGCATTCAGTTAAGCACACTGGCTCTTCTACTACAAAGCCATGCTGTTGTCATAGAGGCAGTATGCGGTTTAGCAAAATCCTGCTGAATATACCAGGCCTACTCTGAAAAAGATGTTGTCTGGATGGGAACATGTGCTGATCTAAAACTTGGATATACTGTATCTTTCAGCATTGATGCTGCCTTTTCAGATGTGCAAGCTCCCCATTCCATATGAGCTAATGCACCCTCATACCATCAGAGATGCAGGCTTTTGAACTGAGGGCAGATAAAAATGTTGGAAGGTCCCTCTCCTCTTCAGTACAAAGGACACGGCACCCATGTTTGCCACAAAGAATGTTATATTTTTATTCACCTGAGCATAGTTTTTCACTTTGCAACAGACCAGTTATTATTATTATACAGGATTTATAAAGCGTTAACAGTTTGCGCAGCGCTTTACAATATAAGGGAGACAGTACAATTACAATACATTTCAGTACAGAAGGAATAAGAGGGCCCTGCTCGTGGAGCTTACAATCTAAAGGAAGGGGGAGGTGATCTGGCGGAGGCGATTTAAATGAGCTTTGGCCCAGAGAAGATGGTAACGTTTCTAGATCATATTCAGATATGGCTTCTTCTTTACATGATAGAGCTTTACCTTGGATTTTTGGATGCCATGGCAAACTGAGTTGACTGACAGTGATTTTTGGAAGTATTCTTGAGCTCATGCAGTGATTTCCATCACAGAATCAAGCCTATTTTTAATGCAGTGCCATCTGAGGGCCCGAAGAGCACAGGCATCCACTATTGCCTTTCAGCCTTGTCCCTTTCTCCATATTCTTGGATTCTTTTGATGATATTATATACTGTAGATGATGATATATTTAACATCTTTGCAATTTTACATTGAGGAACATTATTCTGATATTGTTTGACAAATTTTAGACACAGAGTTGCACAGATTGGTGAACCTCTGCCCATCTTTACTTTTGAGACACTCTCTAAGATGCTCTTTTTATACCCTATCATGTTACCGATCTGTTGCCAACTAACCTAATTCATTGCAAAATGTTCTTCCAGCTCTTCCTTGTTAGCACCACTTACTTTGCCAGATTTTTGCTGCCCTGACCTAATGTTTTTGAGATGTTTTGCTGCCATCGGTTTTGAAATTACCTTTTTTTTTTTTTAAATGTTACATGTTCTCAGTTTAAACATTTTGTATGTTTTCTATTTTCTATTAGGAATAGAATATGGGTTTATAAGATTTGCAGATCATTGCATTTTGTTGTTATGTAGATTTTACACAGTGTCCCAACTTTTTGGGAATTGGGGTTGTAGAACATCACCAAGTGACAGCGCTGTCAAGTGTCAAAGTGTCAGGCAAATCACATGTGTCTGTTGCACACAAACTTCTCATCTTAATGTTTGTGGGTGCCCAGCCAACAGTGGCTCTGCCATAGACTTTAATGCAAGGAAAACCCAGCCCTTCAAAAATATGTAATAAAAGCACTTTAACTTCTTCATAAAGCAAACAAAAATGACGTGAGGGCATGCAGGACCTTTTTTTCAAGACATGACCCTAACAGGTGTGCATGTTACATACACTTGACCCCTGTAGTTTGTATATTACATGCTCCTAACTGCCACACTATTAAACTACATGCTCTTGACATCTGCACCATATGTGCTGGGCTGTGCATTAATTTTTCTCCTGACCCCTTTGCTCAACACACTCCTGACACTTATTACATAACACACTCCTGACCCCTGATTTGTGCATTATGTACTTCTGATTCCTGCACTCTGTATGCTGGACTGTACATTACGTACTACTGACATTACTTAGGTTCTGGTTCAGTTTCAGGAGAATGTGAAAGTCCTGCCGTTTGTCTGGACAGTGCTGATTGACCCTGTGCTGATCACATGCACTCTTCCAAGAACAAAAAAAAAAAAATCTCTAGCAATACACACCAAACTGAGCATGTGCATGTGACTACAGATTCAGTCTGTATCAGGTGGTCATTTCAACAAGAGGAGGGGCAGAGAAGAAAGGATCAAACAGGCTTTTTACACAATGCAGAGGATTAACCCCTTAGGTTCCACAGTGAGTATAACAAGCATGCTTTACTGCATATACAGACTGATTTTACTGTTGTGGGTTTAGTAACACTTTAAGCCACTACAACTCTAAGACTTGAATTGGCTCACAATCATAGCGATACCAGTCATATGGGGAACAACTCTGACATAAGTAAGCAAAGTTTTGCCTCTACCAACATATCCAACTCCTCACAGAGACATAGGCATGCTAAGATATTATTGGGAAGAAGATCAGCTGCAGGTAGACCAATGGCAATACCAATAATTTGTGCCTTCTACAGTTCATATCCTCTTTAAGGTCCAGTTCAGTATTTTAAATAATATGTTCACAAATACAAAGACTGGTTATCTGGAAAATGGAGGATTTCAGAAAAGAAACTGAACAATTGTACAAACAAATATTGATGAGTTATTCTTGATTATAACATTTTCTGGTCTGTGTGTGGTTCCTTTCAAAAAGTATTGAATTGCATAGCTTTAATTTCAGCTTCCATGCAGAACACCCATTACTCACCACAATCGGGCTCACGTCTCTGGCGTCAACCTTTGTGCAGGCAGTAGCCTCAAAGACTGCAGTTCTCACAAAGCTTTAGATAACATAATTACTTTCTTGTATAACTTGGAGAAGCTCTTGAGCAAGTCCTGATGTGACAACCTATTAGGTTTCAGTGGGTGGCAGATTGACCCTGTAAATTGAAACTCTGAGAGGTCACTGCATCTGTCTTATCACCACATTTAATAATTCCACACAAGCTTTGGAGGCCGCAGTTTCATTTAAATCTATGCCTGCCAACCCTGCAGGATGTGTTCTTTGTGTCTTTCATACCAGGATATTGCTCTGCTGTTTGCTGACAACGTGTTTAAATTATGGTAAAATATTCTTGGCAGAGTAGCAAAAAAAACTATAAATGAAGCAACAGAGGTAAGTAGGACGGGCCTGATTTCTCACGGTCAACCCAGTGCTGCCAGATGGAAAGTGCACTGTAACACTCTACAGTGACTTAGCTTTAGCTTGTAGAGGGAACTTGTCTCGAAAAACTTCTAGTTTGTGGATATTCCCATTTTGATTTTATAAATTTGGACCATTCAGGTGTAATTGTTAAAGTTTATCTCAAGTCAACATTTTTTTAGTTTTTTTTTTGTATAGAGTAGAACCCCTGTCAGGTTTTGATTGCTTGAAAGAACTGGTGTTTTTTTATAGGTTATTAGGATATGGCATCAGGACACACCCAGGTAACCCTCTGAGTGGCCACCTGAATTAATACGTCATCATTTTGTGTATTTTGCTGTCATAGGGCCAGAAATTAAAACCTGACAAATATTTTAATTTGGTGCATTATGTGTTATTTGCAAGTTTACACGTTTAATAGATGAGGGCATTGATCACGGTTTGGAGAGCTCTAGTTCACAAGCTCCACAACAGATTTGTCATTTTGAAGGTGAAGACTGGTCTCATCTCCTTCCCTGACGATCATGCCTCCACAAAAAGTCTCCCAGAACCACCCATCAGAGCAGCTTTTCTCAACCTTCTTGACACAGAGGTCTCAGGAAACTCCTGCTAAAATGTACTATATTTACGGCAAATGATACATTAGTTTGATGGTCAGTGGGAAGAATGCCCCTTACACCTGCCATTGGGAAGTATTACCCCATACAGATCGCTATAAAATAGTGTCAGTGGAAATTTATTTGAGAGGCAGGAATTGCGGTTTGCTCAATGAACTCCTAGCAACCTCTGGAGCAACCCTAGTTGAGAATCCCTGCATTCGAGGCTCTGTAATAATTATAATATTAAGGGTACTTCTGGCAATGCAAGTTGTTGATCTATTCATAAACAGTGTAGCACTACCTCCTTGGGGGTTGCTAAGAGATTTGGGTCCCCCTATAGTCCTGCACAGCCAGGCAATCTGTATTCTCCACACAGGCTTGTGTTCAGAGTCAGAGATCAGTCCTTGAGCCTTTGTTTTTCCGTTCATTGAGGGCACTTAGAACTGGGACAGGGTAAGGGGGTATAGGATACCCAAGGGAACTAATAACTGAGGTCAAACTTCTTGAAACAATTCACAAGCTTCTCCTCTGCAACACAGTACCTGCTGCGTCTCCCTGATGTACCACCCCAGACCCTAGATGAAACTCTCCTCCTCACCCAGCAATCTGGGTTTTCCTGAGCAGGGGATCCAGCTCCTGCTCCTCCGAATAGGTGAACAGTCACCAGTAGGGAGCTAATCTGGTTTTCCACCAGAGCGCTCCCTCCCCCATCCGCCCAGGGGACAGCGGTGCACCCACCCAGATCCTCTTCTGCACCGCCTGCTGGCTGTTGCCACCAGGCCCACCAGTTGGGCTGCTCATTCCCTGCCACACAGGTGGTCCCCACCCAGGGGGCCAGTGAGCTCCAAGTCCTCCGCCCCTCCAGCTTCAGGCTTGCAGACAGGCCCCATCCCACTGGCCCTCCAGGCAGCCTTCCTCCTCTAGCCTCACATCTTCCTACAACTCTCTACACCTTTCCCACCACTGCACTCCCCTACTGAGCAGACTCAGCTCCTTGCCAAGCCTTCTGTTGGGGATTGTCTGAGGTCCCTCAAGAGTGCAGCCAGCCACTCCTCAGATCCACCCACTGTCTCCATGGTCCTCCTCCAAAAGCCTCAGAGCAGGGAAGATTCCAGAGGGGCTGACCTGCAGAACCTCTCAGCCCTGACCACAATTTGACCCCTCTGGCAATTACACCTGAGCTACTAACAGCTCCTGTCTAACCATTAGGATCTTGCTCCCCCTAGCTAAACTATGAGGGTGCTACAAGAGCATGTAGAGAGCTTGCATATACCTCCATAACACTTGTGGCAATGGCAAACAACACAGAATACTGCAGCTGCTGGGGTGAAGAGTAGAGTGTCCAAACAAGGTAGATGGTTCTTGAGCCAGGACCTTTTGGCTATGAGACTGTTTCTTTTCTAAAAATCCTTTTTATTACAGTATGTAATGACATAGAAGCCTACAAGTTGCATCTGTATTTTTGGAAATTATAGTGAATGGTTAGAGTCTCTGTTCATTTTTTATTTTGCTGTCTCTTTCCAGTTGGGAAGATTTTCCTGTACATCCTGGTCTGGAGACAAACAGGATGTGAGATGAAATTAAAGTGAAAGGAAATCCCATGTTACACACTCTCTTTGGAACAGGTGTTACCTTTGGATAATATCCCCCACGTCCTGTTTCAGTGAAAATTGTAAAATTATGGATTTCCCATCTTTTTTTTGTCTCAGTGACAAAAAAAGGGTTGCTGGGACAAACAGAGATGGTGACTTTCTCCCAGTAAGGGCACAGACAGAATTAGGAATTTAACAGATGTTCTAACTGTTCCCTGTTCTTTCTTAAAAATATTTTGGTTAGATACACTGTTATCTATATTTATATAGTATTTTATTATTATATTATAGTAGTAATAGTAATAGTGGTACATGTAGCACCCTCCTAGATAGGTACTAAAATGAGGTGTATTCAGTTTTGCCTGACTGTATCCAGTGGAGCTGCATTGTTAGGTAAATTTAGTTTGCCTCACTGTAATCAGTGTGGCTGTTTGTGATTGCTTAGGTCTGTTCTGTGCTTCACAGGCTACATGTTTGATTACTACTCCTGCCTTCTAGAACCCTCTGGGTGGTTCTGGAACATAGGTGAGGAGTAAGGCAAATGACTAGTATAAATAATCATACTGTCTCAGCCAATCCCTGTGGGAAGATTGCACAGATGGGTGCTGGGAAACTTTATAAATAGGTTGAGACCTGGAACAGAATTGTCTTGTCCCTTAGAAGGTGATCAGAGCCTAGGGGGCTGTTATGCCAGCAAGGTCCACCTGCCTTGTGTTTGCTACTCATTGCAGTCCCAGTTGGGCGAGGAGCGGGGCTGAGTTTGCTTTAAGTTGCTGGAGCTGCTTGAGGGGGCTGTCGTTTGTGAATACAATCAGGTATCACAAGGAGAAAGTGTCTGGAAGGCATTGGAAGGAGGAAGCCAATTGTCTGAAGACATTGTGAGTATAGACAGCTGTGAAAGATCCTAGAGACTGTGTGCTGTTGCCACCCCTCTGATGACAGAGCTGTGTGTTTAACGGAAACAAAGTGTTCATTTTTCTGAAGAGCTCAGTCTATTTATTTCTTTGTGAAAAGACGTTTTCTCGGTCTGTCCACAATCTCAAGTGGCCACTACAACACTTTGTCCATTCCTTTACTTGTGCAAGGACTTGGCTCATAGTTCTACAGAAGAGAAAGTGTCCTCCTATTTGAACATAGTTTTGGAGTATCTCATTAAATTCCCTATCCCCATCCAAGTTAAACAAAAATAAAACCACCAAAAAGAATACCCATTGACTGTTTATTGAGCCAAAAGAGAGACTGTGACTGTGTGCCTGGCTGTGGGGCAAATATTGGGAAAAGAACCTTGGGCATCTTTCAAGCTGCTCCTACATATTGTTCTTCCATTCCTCATGTTGGCTGGTCACAAGGAAAACCACTCCCTGATGACCAGTTCATATGGTCTTCCTTGATGATATGAGAGGCCCATGGGACTGTTAATGCATCTGTAGTACAGGTCATTAGCAGATGTTGCACAAACTAATGTGTCATTGTACCATTGTTGTAGTGTACCATATTGTTTATTACTCATGGATGGGACGAGCATGCCATTTTCATACCCAGGTGAGCCATCTTGCCTGAACATTGGGTGGAAGCTCTTTGACAATGAGCATAAATTAGAACTCCAGTCAAAACTTTATATTGGTTTGGATGATGTGCAAAAGATTTAGAATCTCTGAGAATTGTATTGCTGTTTTTGTCTATGTAAGATTTCCCCTCTCTTTTATTTGTTGTGTCACTGGGGCAGAAAGCAAGAAGAAGTCAGGATACTGACAGTAATAAAAGCACTATATTCAGCAGGGTGGGAAAAGGTTAAATCATCTGCACAGTGCACATGTAAGGGGTCTCCAAGTATCTAAAGGCAAAAAAAGGGAAAGCCAAAATCATGCCTCATGAAATGAAATAGTTCTTTAACAGTAAAAACTTTAGGTAATATGACTGCACAGTAGGTGACA